AAGATAGATTGTTTATAAACTTATTCCTTACTCTAGGGTCGTGAAGATAGTGTATTAGGTTCTAAAAGTTGTTTATTTTTTCCCCTTTCACATGTAAATTTGAAAGCTATTTGGAACTGATTGCTGTGAATTTGGTAAAGGGCAAATTTACTTTTTACCATTTGGATCCTTAAATGAAGTCCACCTTTTACAGTGTGCATATAAAATTGTGTGTGTGTGTGTGTGTGTGTGTGTGTGTGTGTGTGTGTGTGTAGCAGCCCCCACTACATTGGTCTCTTTGTCATTCTCTGTGCCTAAAGCACAATATCTCAGTTATACTTAGGGTTGTATAATACCAGGTCTGCCTAACTGGTAGGGAAAATCTTAGAATTGGTGTTTAATGACTTGTTTCTTTCCACTCATTCTACTTTTTCCATCTTTTTCTCATTTCATTATGATGGCTAGCATCCCCAAGACAATGTTGAATAATAGAAGTGATGACATGGGGCACACTTACGTTATTCCTAATCTTGAAAGAAATTTTTCGGTATTTTAGCATATGTGTTATATTCACTAAAGCCTGTTGGTATGCCTTAATAAATTAAATGTGCCTCCTAGAAGCCCTAGGTTGTGAAGGAGCTGAATTGTATTAAATGCCTTGTATCTATCTGTTAAGTTTTCCTTTAATTTGTTGGTGTGCTGGATCATAATCAAGAGTACTTATAATTCTAAAAACTGCAGTTCACAATAAAATATGATATTTAACAACATCTGTGGACACAGATTAACAGTATACATCAAATAGGGCAATCACCCTTATAAAGTAGAAACTAGAGTAATCAAAGGAAAGAGAAACATACTAACAACTTCAACATAATGTCGCAGATACCTCAAAATGATAGCAATATGCCTGCTAGTTAATTTCTTTTTTCTGTTTTAACAGTGTGACACAGCACACTGTGATGGTTGGGGCATGTTTGGAAGGTGTCCCTCAGGAGTTTCTGTGCTGGAAGTCTGCTTCCAGTGTGGTGTGTTAGGTAGTGAGAACTCCCTCAGGGGGTGGAACCTGGAGAAAGGAAGTTAGGTTCCTGGGTGCACTACCTGGGGAGAGTGCTAGTGCTGGGCTTCAGGACTTAGGTCCTGGAAAGCAGTTGGCTACAAAGTATGGCCGCTACACATGGGTTCTTTCTACACACTGCTGTTGCCCTTCTGCTCCTCTGCCATGTTCTGATGGAGCTCCCATCCCCTTACTAAAGGTCAAATAGAAGGCGCTGCCCAGCCATGGACTTCTGGCCTCCAAAACTGTGAGGTACATAAATCTTTTTTGTTAAGTACTCTACTTTAGTTATTCTGTTATAGCAACAGAAAATGTGTTAAGACTTTCATATAATAAAATTTATTATCTTAAGATTTTTTTTTTTTTTTGGTGGAACCAGGGATTGAATTCAGGTCCTTGCACTTGCGAGGCAAGCGCTTATTCTACTGAGCCATCTCCCCGGCCCCTATCTTAAGATTTTTAAATGAGTAGAGTAGAATTAACTACACTCAGACTATATCAGCACTGTCATTACCACCCATTTCCAGTAAAAGCAAAATTAAAAGTGTCTATCCATTAAACAGTAACTCTCCATTCTTCTTTGTTGTAGCCCCTGGCAACTGCTATTTTACTTTTTGTCTCTGTAAGTTTGACCACTATGGGTTCTGCACATAAATGGAATGATGCAGTCTTTTTGTGACTGGCTTAGTTCACAGTATAATATAACAACCTCAAGATTCATCTATGTTGTATCTCATATCAAAATCTTTCTCGGCAAATGTATTGCATATTCTTATCCATCTGTTGATAGACAGTTATATTGTGTGCACATTTTAGCTATTGTGCATAATGCTGCTATAAACATGGATGCACATGAAGGCTGGGGAGATGGCTCAGTAGAATAAGAGCTTCCCTGGCAAGCGCAAGGGCCTGGGTTCAATCCCCACTCCTGCCAAAAGAAAAAAAACATGGATGCACAAATATTACTTTAAGACCGTGCTATAAATTTGGGGAAAAAATATACTCCAAAGTGGAGTTTCTCAGTAATGTGATAACTTTGTTTTTAATTTTTGAAACTATCATACAGTTTTCCTCAATGGTTTCACAGCAATAGTGCCCAATTTTTTACATCCTTACCAACATGTTAGTTTTTCTATTTTAAAATATAGTATCCATTCTAACAGATGGTGTGATGTGTTATCTGACTATATTTTTGATTTGCATTTCTCTCATGATTAGGATAGTGGTCATCTTTTCACACAATTATTGGTAATTTGCATATTTTCTTTGGGAAAAAGTCCACTCAAGCCTTTGCCCATTTCTGCATTGGGTTGTACTGGTTTTCAGTTTTCATGAAGTAAAAATTTTCTGTTGTATTGATTTACAGTCTTTGTTGTGTGCCTTTGGTTTGATACCCAAGAAGTCACTGGCAAATTCCATGTGGTGAAAACTTTGCCTTCTCTTTTCTCCTGTTTGTAATTTAAGTATTTACGTTTAGATCATTGATCCATTTGGAATTAATTTTTATATGATATAAAGTAAGTCTCCAGTTCATTCTTTTGCATATGGATATCTAGTTTTCTTAGCACTGTTTGGTAAAAAGATTGATCCTATGCCAATACCACTCTTTTCTTTTCAATACTGTAGCTGTCAAGTTAAGTTTTTCAGTTGAAATGTGAGTCCACTATGGGATTTTGCTAGGGGTTCTATTGAATCTATAGATTTCTTTGGATAGTATTGGCATCTTAACAAATGAAACCTTTGTCTATAACCATTCTGTGAGAAGGGATGTCAATTATTTTTTCCTTCTTTTATCTCTTTCAACAGTGGTTAATAGTTTTCAATGTACAAGTCATCCACCACTTTGGTTAATTCCTAATTTTTTTTGACGGTATTGTATATTATTGTTTTCTTAGTTTCCTTTCTGGATTGTTAGTGTGTAGAAATACAACTGATGTTTGCATGTTGATTGTATATCCTGATACTTTATTGGATTAATAGTTATAATATGTATGTTCAGGATTCCTATATATAAGAGCATATTATGTGTGAACAGAGATCATTTAATGTCCTTTCTACTTTGGATAGCTATTATTTATTTACTTTCTTTCCTGATTGCTCTGGCTAGAATTTCAGCAGTATGTTGAACAGAAGTGGTGAAAGTGAGCTGTGCTCCTGATTTTAAGGGATAAGCTTTCAGTCTTTCATTGGTGTTGATAGTTGATTTTTCATATATGACTTTTATATTCAGAGTTACAGTAGAGTCCTGCTAGCTTGCTGAGTATTTCTTTAATCATCAAATGACTTTCAATTTAATCAAGTGGTTTTTGTACATCAGTTGAGATGGGCATATAGTGTTTTCCTTTATTCTGTTAAGGGGGTGTAGTGTATTTTCATGTGTTGACTCATCCTTTAATTCCAGGAATGATTTCCACTTGGTCATTGCATGTAATTCTTTTAATATGCTGCTGAATCTGACTTGCTAGTGTTTTATAGAGGAGTTTCCACATTAATGTCCCAAGGGATATTGGCAAGTACTTGTCTTCTAGTGTCCTTGTCTGGCTTTGGTACCAGGAGCAACACTGATCTTACAGAATAAGCCAGGAAAAGCTTCCTTCTGTTCAACTTTAGTAGTTCAAGGATCGGTACTGGATCGTCTTTAAATGTTTGGTTGAACTAATCAGCCAAGCCATCAGGTCTGGGACTTATTGTTGCAGAGAGGTTTCTTTTTTATGTATTCGATCTCTTTCCTAGTTTCATCTTCAGATTTTTTTTTTAGAAATTTGAAGTTTTTTTTTTTTTTTTTTTCTCTAGGAATGTCCTTTTCATCTAGTTACCCAGTTTTTGGCTTGCAGTTGTTCACAGTATATTCTTAGACTTCTCTATATTTTTATAGAATTGGTAGTTATATCTGGAAACCTTTTAAAGACTTAGATAAGAACATTAGTATATTTTTTGGGTACAAGATGTATCATTTTATGTGAAAGATGATTTTTTATTTCATCCTGTGCTGATTTTAGTCCAATTTATTGCTTCAGTGCTGGGCAGAAGTGTGTTATCCAGTAAGTGGGTGCTGAGAATTTCAAACCTTTTAACCTCTCAGAAAACTAGTCTTCTGTTTTTTTGTAGTAGTTGTGCCAATCCTGTAATTTCTCTTAGCATGTTTTATTTCATTTATTTGTACTAGGAATCGAACTTACAACCTCACATTTGCCAAGCAGGCACTGTCCCACTGAACTATATCGACAGCCTGCTATAATCCCTGGCTCTTTACTGTTTATTTTGCAATACCGGGGAAGGAACTCTGGACCTGGTGCTTGCCAGCAGGCACTTATGTCAGCTAAGTTATCTCCCCAGTCGTTTTAAATATATGTGTACTATGTTTGTATTTTTCAGTCAATGAAAAATAACAAAATATTGGATAACTTATATAGTATTGGGGCACTCATGCAAAGATAACTCATATTTTGTATATATATATTTACTTTTTCTGTAATACATAAAACATTTTTGTTGAGAGATGCTCAAGTAGTTTGAGATGCAAAACAAATCAAGGGATCTCAAAAGACAACAAATACTCAGCGTAGGCTAGCTATATAATTTTAACAAAGCTGTTTATAATTTTAATTTGGATTATGCAATGTACTTAATAAGTTACTATTTGGATTTCTCTTTGCTGTAAACAACTCGAGAACGTCAACTAATAGCAAAGCCCACAGACAACACTTAAACCTTACAGGATCCAGGGGGTCAGTAAGGCTAAGCTTGCTGGCCAGTGTTGAAGCTAACACTGGGCAAAGCTCACAGGACGCGGGCGCGGAGCGTCTGAGGAAACTACCGCTGCCTCAGGACTCCGCGATTCTTCCCTAAAAGCGGACTTTGCACCGAAAGAAAGCTACGATAAGCGCAGGCCAATTAGACACACAACTCCGTGGTTCTTTCCTTCCAACAGTCAGCCCGGGTCACAAGGGCCAAGTGCTTCGTGACACTAGACACGAATTTGGAAATCAGGGGGCCATCGAGCTGCTGCTTTTCTGGGGAAAAAAATAGGACCAAGAAGGAACAGACATTACCGTCAATGTCCATTCAAGTGCACCCATAATTCCCGCGCTACGCCGGCAGTGTACTAGTTTCTCGCGAGAAGACGGGTCCTTAGAAGGCACAAACTTCCCTCTTCGGTTGCGCGGGTTTTGTGGGCAAGTTTAAACACGCGGGAGCGGAAGTGTCTTTGGTCTTTCCGAAATCAACACCCATTCTACAACGAAAGCCCAGCCTTCGACTGTTATGGAAGGGCAGCAAGGGCAAGAAAGCCAGGCAACCCTAGCAGTGGCTCAGGCGCATTTCGAGAAGGGCGAGTACGCGGAGGCCGAGGCGCTGTACTCCGCTTATATTCGCCAGTGCGCCTGTGCGGCCTCCGTCGGCCCGGGGCTCGGGAGGTAACTGTCGCGAGACCTGGGCGCGGGCGCCTCGGCTCTGGGCTCCGAGCGGCGTCGGGCCCCTCCTCCGCGCGGTGCTCGCGGGCCGCGGGTCGCGCCCCAGCCCTGACGGCGGCCGGGGCTCCTCCCATTCCGCTTCGCTGTCCTCTGCGGCGGTCGGGGATCCGAGACGCCGGGGCAGGACGCGCTGGGCAGGGCCAGGCCTCGTGCACAGCGTCCCGGCGGGGCGGTTCTGTTTCCTTATTATGAACCTTCAAAATGTGGGGGGAAAAATGCATTTTCGAGTATTCATTGCTGGGTTTAAGAATTATTAATTCACCCACACATGGTATTTGTGGATGTTTCAGGACCTTTTCTTAAAGAGTAAGGATTATTAAAAAGCCAGTCGTCATATCATCACATCCTCATATCACGCATCCTATCAGTGTTCCAACTTTCCTGATCGACAAAGTGTGCCTGTTGCTATTTGGTTGATTGGCTTGTAGCCGCTGGACCAACTATGCGCCCTCTTGTAGTTCAGAGGTCGTGGGCACAGCCAACCTGTTTGTCTTGACAGTTTCCGTGGCTAGGAATTGCTGAAAGCGTCTTTCAGACGTCTTTTTTAACGTGATTATCTGCCTCTTGCACTGCTTGTGGCTGGTAGTTATATCTTGAGGTTTAGATCCAAATCAGATCCAGGATTGTGCCAAGAACGCAGGCGGGACCGTGCGCTTCCACAGGGAGGCGTGTAATGTCTGGGTTTCCTTTTTGCGATGTTAGCCTACACTAGTCCTGAGCGTCCAGAAGCTCCTCCGGGGTTATGCTTGGTTGTGTAGCATTTGCTGTTACTTCAGGATTTGCCCTTGTGCTTGTTGATGGTGTGCCGTGGACTGGGTGTGGGTGGGGAGGAGAGGGGTTGGTTGGACTGTTTTTGACAGTTGTGAGGTAATCTGAATCGCCCCCTTCTCCCATGGACAATTTGACTTTTCTTGTTAGAATGCCAGTTTGTAGTTTGTATTAGGATAGACGAAACACTAAGAGCTCCCTGCCCCATTCCGTACCGGGAACTGAACTCAGGACCCCGCGCTTGCCAGACAGGCGCTTATCCTACTGAACTATCTCTCCAGCCAATGGCTTGCTATCTATTCTTTTTTTATTTTTTAATTTTTTTTTAATCTCATGGGGCATTAAACCAGAACGACAGATGTTTTCTTAAGTAATACACCGTACTGATGGTTATACTAGATGTTTCCGAACAGACGCTAGAGTCACGCTAGAGACATTGTGCTTGCCTCACCCCTCCCACCAAAATAGATTCATAAGCAAAGGACACTTAGTTTCATGTCTTTGCTTCGAACTCTTAGATACATCTAGGGTTCAAAAAATACTCGGCAGCAGCAGGTAGTGGGTGCGTTCCAGTTTCTTTATTCTTCCTCTGCGCATCAGGCTAAGGACTGAAATGTTCCCGTTCAGTGTAATTTCTGCCTGTTGCTGGCGTAACAAATAGAATTTGCTATGGCGTTGCGTGCCTGTGTTCATGTCTTGGCTTTGGTGCACTGGGCGCACTTTTCCTCAGCCTCAGTTTCTCATCTATAGAATTATTCCTCATTTCCTTACAGTTCTAAAAGTCTTCTGACGGTTTCATGTATTAAAATGAATTCTGTCAGTTAAGGTTTCCCTCTAAATATAAACTTTTGGCATTCAAATGTATTTTTGAAAACATTGGAGCGCTGAATCATCTTGAAGTAGTGTTTACAATCTTTAGACATCTTTTACTCCAAAAGGTTTGTCATGTTTTTTTAATATTGTAAGGTGCAGCCTTAACCATAATTTAATTTTCCAATATTTTATCTTTGCCAAAGCTAGCAAATGCTAAAAGTCCACATCAGGTAACTAGGTTAAAAATCTATTACAAAAAATACTAGCTTTACACAAACAGTAATACTACCAAAAAAAAAAAATTCGGCATAACATTAGCTGAATGGTTTAAAGTTGGAAACAAAATGTCTGCATAAAAAGTAGGCTTTTAAAATTTGTTTTAATGAGGTATAAATCTAACATATTGAATATAAGAGTTTATGGCAAAGCCACAAAACTTCAACTTTAAGGATTAAAACCTTACTGAAGTCCTGAAGCTGCTTTTTTTCTTCAAACTCTTAATGTGTAGCAGATCAGTTTGTGCCCTGATGGACAGATGAGGGACGTGGACCCTCTTGTTCTCTAGCTTTAACAGTGCTGCGAGTGGCATCTGGAAGTATCTTAGTACTGTTATAGGCAGCTGAGTTAAGTAGAAATAGGCGGTCAGACAGGGCTAGGCCCTCAGAAGGAGCCCGCATGAAAGACAAGATACCTTGCACCTAGGAGAGAGACAAACACTGGCTGTGGGCCAGACCTCAAGACAAAAGATTAAACAAATGCAAACCTCCCTAAAGATAAGCATGTGGGACTGGTACTCCAGATAGGTCTCTGTCACCTCGAGGAAGCCAGGAACAGTCATGAACTCAACCCCTCTACAGGAAAAGCCCTTGTTCTGTGTTCAGGCCCACTTGCTATGTGACTTGCTTCATTTGGTCCTGGATTTAATCAGTTTTACCTGAGCAAGTGTTTGGCGTCTTATTGGTGCATCATACCTTTGTCCCACCTCATGCCCACCTAGTAAGTTCCCATGTTTTTCACCTTAGACCTGCCACACCTTGTGGTTTTGCTCTATAAAGCTCCTAGAAAAGGCAGGGTCCTTGGCAACCCACTCAGGTCCCCTTATATCCCTATGTCAGACAGAAGCTTTTTTTCCCCTTACTAAATAAATTCTGCTTTTAACCTCTCTTGTTCCTAAAATTCATTCTTCGGTTTTAGAGAACATGAACTCATCCCTCGTCTTTCGCACTGGGAGCTTCATTCCACTATGTCGCTAGCATTTAGGGCTCACAGAACAGAAATTTTCCCAAATTGCAGTAACTCCTCTTCACTGTTAGAAGTTGAGCTTGTGAGTACCTTTGCAGGCTGTAGCAGTTACAGTCGTTGTCTGAGACCCGAAGGCTCAAGACATTCAGTCACAAACCTTTTCTGAGGACTGTACTTCCCACCATGGGGTAAAACAAAGCAATGGTAGATAAGTCTCATTTGCAGCTTCTGTGACTCAAATGAGATAATCACTATGGGAAAACATCCCCTGACCCACATCAGAGCCGCTGCTGCTCTCTGTGTAGGTGATTTGTCCTGCGCAGACGAAGGAGGTGGTGGGGGCTGCATGTTGTGTTGTGGTTCTTAGGCCGGCAGGGAGTCAGCGCTTCACGGGGCTGTCCACGCACTTGGCTACCGAGGTGCAGCCTATGGAGCTCTCCAGGCCAGAGCTGATTCTACATAGGACCTCCAGGGTGGCTCAGAGCCCACTCTCGCAGAAGCCAGGCTGGTCTTGAGGGGATCCCAGCCTCACTGGTCACTCTGGGGATTAAGTTGTGGAACTTTCACCCAGTCCTAACTTATTTAATGGTTTTAAGATTCTGAGAGTGGTGTTAATAATTCTCTGTGTGACACACCCGTAGTAAACTTTGAGCTAACTTCCTTTTCTGTGTCTGATATTTGTCTCACAAGTGTGTGCTTAAGGGTTCAATTCCTGGTATCACATGCCTAGCTGGCCCTATCCCGGGTGTGCTGAGCCAGCCACCTAGAACGGGTGAGGTATTGCACGCGTGTAATCCCAGAGCTGGGGAGGCTGAGACAGGAGAATCACTATGAGTCTGAGTTGCATAGTGAGATCATGTACCAAATATATTTAAAAAGGAAAACAATAATTCTAATGTTATATTCAGGAAAATGTGACAATGGACAGGGACTTTGAACACTGTAAAATTTCATGTGCTTTTTTAAAAAAAATATATTTAGTACAGGGTCTACAGGGTCTCACTACACAGATCAGACTTGTAGTGATCCTCCTGGTTTTCAGCTTCCCAAGCACTGGGATTATAGGTGTGGGCCACCATGCCCAGTCTCAATGGCCTTCTCAGCTCACCTCAGGGGTGGGGCTGGTCTGGCATGCTGGGTCTTGAACCCGGCTGCTGTGCTTTGCCTAAGCAGGTGCTTTAGTTGCTGAGCTATCTGGCTGGGCCCTCATGTGCTTCTCATTTTTAAATTTTTAAAAATTATTTAGTTTTGAGACAAGGTCTCCCTATGCAGTTCAGGTTGGGCTTGAACTCACTATATAGCCCAGGTTGTCCTTGAACACAGGCAGCCCTGCGGCCGCAGCCTGGGGTCATAGGTGTGTGCCACACGCCTGGCCCATGCGCTTTTCAGATTGACAGTGTAGTTCTGTAACCCTACAAAACAGATAAAAAGTGATTTCAGTACCCCACATGCTTTAGCTTGGATTTTCAGCTTGTTTTTTCAGTGCAGTAGGGCATGTTGCAGGATGTGAAGTTTGACAGTGCTAAAAAGAAAATGAAAGTGGAACTGAGAGGAATTCGATAACAGTGTTTTTTTTTTTTTATGTGAACTTTTTGTTTAAAGCAAATGCAGCCCTGAGGGTTTGGCTACTGCATATAACAACAGGGGGCAAATCAAGTACTTGAGGGTTGATTTTAATGAAGCGATGGATGACTACACATCTGCCATAGAAGTCCAACCCAGCTTTGAAGTTCCCTATTACAACAGAGGGCTGATACTGTACAGACTGGGTAAGAATTTATACTTGATTTGATGTGCTGCGTTTCTCATTGATTAGGTTCTGTTATTTCAGAGCTATCAGCTGTCATAAAATGAGTGTAGTAATGATCAGGCTTTAGTGAAATTTAGCTTTCGTACTTGAACATAATGTGCCTGAGCTTGTGTTAGGTGTCTGATGGGCGTTAGAGGTCACACTGGAGTGCTGGGGGGGGGGGGGGTAACTGCACCTGGGCACAGGACAGGGGTGACCCCATCAGGCCGTACCTGTAAGTTCTCAGCTGCAAGTGAGGGTAATGCTGGCAACTTGTGACATTTTATGAGTTAAAACCTTTGAGCTACGTGAGGCAGTACACAGTGAGAAGTTTAAATCTCTTCTATTGAGGGACCTGTTTCCGGTTTCTCATTTTTTCTCTGCACTTGTGTAAAAGAGGTGATATGCCTGTTGAAATTTTATGAGTTATGCTACTGACCGACTAAAATCTTATAAATCCACAACTAGATTGATTGATTGATTTCCTTTTTGTAGTGCTCAGGGTTCAACCCAGGGACTCTTCCACTCAAGGCAAGTGCCTCACCATTGACTGCACGCCAGCCCTTAGAGCCAGTATGGGGCATAATTATTCTGGAAGGGCACACCGCATTACTGTGATGTATATATCTCTGTATCATCATTAGGAAAAAAAATCTTCCTTTAATTAGGTGTAATTGAAAGTTCATAAATGTAAAGCAAGCTATGTGCATCTAGACTTTGCTGTGAATAAGATGTAGAAATACTCAGCCTTTATTCTCTTTTCTATTTTTTTTGGATCCTGGTACAGGATATTTTGATGAAGCTTTGGAAGATTTCAAGAAAGTATTAGACTTAAATCCTGGATTTCAAGATGCTACTTTGAGCTTAAAACAGACTATTCTAGACAAAGAAGAAAAACAAAGAAGAAATAGTGAACAAAATTATTGAACTTTTAAATTTAATTGAAATAATAATAATTAATGATCCTTACATCTGCATCTGGTTGGCTGTAATTTAAGATACTCAGTGAGCTCTTTTGATTTAACATTTAAGAGATTCATACATTAGCACTGAAAGTGAAACAGTGTGTTTAATATTGTTAATTTCAGGTTGAAAACTATTTTGGGGGGCTCATTTTTATAAAGTGTAAATAAATAATCTCAATGTATAAGTGTGTATTAGTATAGTATAATATTTTAAATGTATTTTCTTTAGTAAAACTTACTTTTGGTATTTTTTATTTGAAAAAAAATCACAAAAATTGAAGCATAATGAGTTAATGAGTGCTCTCAGTGCTGAGACGCGCTGTGTAGTTTCGTCAGTCATTAGCATTGTGCCACATGTGCTTTTTCTCTATTTAAAAATAAAACTTTTTGCTGAGTCATTTGAGGATGAGATACAACTGTCATAGTACTTCACCCCTAAATACTTTAGCCTGCATCTTTCAAGGATAAAGACATCTTGTTGTTACTGTCATAATACCACTATAACATCTAGTGAAGTGAAAAGTTCTATAATGGGCTCCATATCTAGAGCATATTCAGATTTTCCCAATTACTTCAAAATTGTGTAGATTTTTTAATTTTTGTTCTGTAGCCAAGCAGGTTTTGTTGTGCTCTTATGTCCTGAGTTCTTTTAATTTAGTGTCATCCCCTGTTCTTTTTCTCTCTTGCAGCATTTGCTTTGAAAAAAGAAAGCTATTTTGTGTGGCTGGGCTAGAAAGACATAAAATTTGGCCTTAAAAACAAGCACATGGCCTACAGGAGAGAAAGTAGGATTCAATGTGCACTTGATTTTCTCTAGAAATCATTGATATGATTGGTTAAAATTTTAAAAATACTGTATATTGAATACAATTTTCTGTCTGTGGATAATGAAGTTATTTTCATTACTACTTTTTGTGTGCTTAAGCGAGGCCTTCATGCTCTCTGTAAGGATTTACGGGTGCTGTGGGGATGGAAGAGTAAGGAATTGGTAAAAACACGGTGAATGTAAAGCTGTGGAAATTCCACTGGGTTCTGAGGAGGCTCTCAGAACTGGGGAGGACTTGAGAAGGCAAGCCAAGCCCGAAGGTCCCAGCCACATCTTTAAATTTTTATTGTTGTGGTTTGGCTCTTAAGTGTATATGACCCTCAGCTTGAGATTTCCCAAGCTAGTTTATTGCTGCTGCGACAGACTGTTCTTGGGTGGAAACGACCCTTGTGGGGAGAAAGGACAGTGTGCCTGGCATCCTAGCGGCAGGCACGGGACCCTGCTGTGGCCTCAGATGCAGTCGCCGCCACCAGCCCTAGCAGGATTCTTTTTATCTTTCTTTTTGAGTAAAAGGGAGCTCATGAAGCAGACAGAGTAATTGCCGTGTATGTAGTTCATAAATAATATCTGGCAAGAATACGTGGACAATTTGTGTTGCAGGTGAATGAATATGAAAGGCCAGAAAGGAAAAGTATATTTCTGGAATTATTCACATTTTCCAATGATTTATCTCTCCATTGTTGGAAATGTCTTTAATAGAACTTCTAAAGTTGCATGAAAGCAGAAAAACCCTTTTATTAAAACAAAAACCTTTTTTTTTTAAAGAAAGTGAAATCTCTAGACATTAGGAGACTTTAAAGCCATTCCACCCAAAGAACCCAGTGCCCCAAGAATACTTATGTGACTTCCTGCTCTCTTGGCGCCTCCTCTCTTCTCTTTACTCTTCACTAGGACCAGATAAAATAAGAAAAAGAACACTTGTTAAAAAATGTCATATGGTTTGCTGGGGTTTATTCCAGGCTTCTTCACTGAAAATAGTCACTGAAATGCAAATTGATCCTTGCTGATTGGAGACCCAGGCGCTTATTTTCTCTTGTTTGTTATTGAAAGTAAGAAATAAGACATTTACTTCATTTATCTCCTTTGAAAGTAGACATTGTTTATTCAGAGTCCAAGTTTCTGATTGGCTAATTAAAGGTAGCTTTTGCATCTTGCCCACATTTCAGTGTTTCTTTCTTTTTTCTATTAGAAAAATATTCGTCTTCTAGTTTTTTTTCTTCTTCTTCTTCTCTGTAAAAACAAAGCAGATAGTTTTGGTTTGATATCAAGATTGTCTCTCACAAAGTATAGTAAAATAGAATGAATTTCTTTCAGTTACGGTTTTGAGTTTATAAAGTTATCGTCTGCCCTTTTTGGAAGTCTGCAGCTGAGTGCAGCTGCGGACTATATTTGTGGTAGCAAAGTAGGGGAGCTGGAAAAGAGCGAGCTGAACTTGAAAGTCGGGTCTGAGCCTGCCTGGTCGCTCCTGTTCACTCTGTCCAGGATTTTGTCTTCTCTCACCAGTGTCTTTATCCTAAAGATAACCTTGCCCTCCTATTATTGTGTGGCTTGTAAATCTTTCCGAGCGCACACACTGTATTTTATCGCTGACGGGAAAGAAACGCAGCATTACCCTGGTACCCATCTCAGTGTCTCCCGTCTGAATGTGGTCTTCTTAAAAATGTAACTGCTTATGTCAAATAATTAAACCTATCTTCTGAGTGAAAAGCTATTACATGAAAAAATATTTGTAACTGGAAATAATTCCATTTTATCCCACAATATTCTCTTTTTACTGGAAGAAAAATCAAGAAATAAAAAATGTTTACTTTGAAAGCAACTAATTTGTACAAACTGTTACTAGTGTTTACTTGTTTTTTTTTTCCTGCTGTCACATTAAGAAAAAAGCTGTATTGAGATACCCACATGCACTTCATCTATTTGAATTGTATTGTTAGATGGATTTTAAAGTATTCTGCACCATTTTCTAAAATGAGTTTTTAGGCATTTTAGATTGAATGATCATGTTGCATGCAATCAAGTTGTTACATGGGAAGGTATTTTTAGGCAAATTAAATACTAACTGTAAGAGTGCTTCAGAAAACAACAGGACATGCATAACAGATCAAGGATGTCCCCTCTTAATTTTGTTCAAAATATGCAGCATGATGCTAATTTGTTTCATGTGTGGCTTCTCTGACCAGCAGCTTGTGCTAAGGAAATCAGGGAATCTGTTGCTGCCTGGAACTATGATGTTGAATTTATTTAGGACATTTTGGGCTGACACTTTTTTTTTTTTCTTTTTAAAAACTGATTGTTGACAATCCTGTGGGATATGTTTTCAAGAAGCTAGTGAAAAGCGGGCCGAACATTTGCTGTGTGAGCTAAGTATGTGGTTTTAAGGGCTTCCATAAAAATTCAGATTGTAACGTGTTCTACGTTTTTCGAACTGTGACAATAAATTAGAATAGGATTCCAATTTAAACTTGCATTTGGGTAGAGAGGGATTTATTACATTTCAGGTCTATTATAAGGGAATGTCAAAAGTGACCATTTCTACATAAAGAAGGATGATAAATACAATCTCTCTCTCTCTCTCTTTATTTTTGTGGAACCGGGGATTGAACTCAGGCTTCTGTGCCTGCCAGGCAAGCGCTTATTTCACTGAGCCATCTCCCCAGCCCCCCAGTAATTTTTGTTTTTAGAAAAATCAGATGGTGAGGTGAAGAACGCAAGAAGCTGAAGGCACAAATCTGCATAGCAAAAGGCAAATAATGAAAAACGTGTAAGTTAAGAAACATGGCTTTGACTGTGCACGGAACAGCGGAGTAGGAGCGCAGCTGGAGCCCTCAGTCTGCGTGGGTCAGCGCAGTCATGCGTCTCACGGAGCAAGAGGAACTGCTTTGTGTAGAAGAGGAAGCTGAGGTGAAGAAATCCAGCAACTTGCCCCGTGACATCCAGAATCCATATGAATACGGAAATGGCAATTGCTGTCAATCGATGTGTTGCCAAGCTGACAGCAACACACAGCGAGCTTTAGTTTCTTTCCTGATAAGAATTTAAATTGTTCATAAATTGCTCAGACATGTTGTAATGTGAATCAAGGTGAGTATCAAAATAGTTTTAAAATATATTTTATTAATGGAACTTTATTGCAGTGCTAGAATTGCTTGTTGGTCATTTTCCTTCCTGATTGAAAACAGGCATGCAAGATGGTGCAAAGCAGATGAATATTAGAGCAAACTCCATTTGGAATCTTGAATGCCATGGTTGTGCCAATTTGTCAATTTATGTCCTGTGTTAGGAAAAAGCATCCAACACCTAAGAAGAAGGCAAACGGAACGCTGCGTGTTCTTTCAGCATTACAGTGAACCCCAAGCATCAGATCCACCCTGAAGCTGTTTAATTCTACTCTTGGTTAGGGTCCAGGCTGAAGTTACATGTAACTGGTCAGTTTTTTTCTAGAGAAAATACGAATGAATTCTGTCTGACAGAAAAGGTAACCCTAAAGGTTATGGCACTGTTGCCAACAAGAACACTAACCAGTTTTATATCTAATGTAGCAACTTGCATTTCCACATTCTTTCTTCAACTTTCCAGGGCTTCCTACCCTTGTGGTTCTTTCATTAACGAGTTAAATATTTGCCACATTTTCATTTCATAGTCTTCTTATGAGTCATGTTTCACTCTTAAAAAATGTGTATTTTAACATTCTTAAGTAGAGCTTATCATTATTTAGTCACATTTTTAGCAGGAGTAAGAAGGAAAGTTTCTGTTTTCCTGACCCCTGTTCTTTAAAATATTCAGTACATTTTAGTTCTTATTCACACTTTTGGTTTTTTTCACACCGGAGAAACTGTGTGATATTTAAACATGTGTCTGATTTATTTCATTTAGGATTATTTAACCCTAATTAAAAAAAATTAAGAATGAGTAGACTAATTGGACTGGTACACAAGATATAAGTGAAGAGTAGTATGTCACCCCCTTCTCCTCAGAAAGTAACTTCCTTTAACCAGTACAGCTAGAAACCAAGGGTTTCAAGCCCCCTCCTCTATTCTTGTTTCTCATATCTTTAAAAAAAGCAAACTACATTTAGTCCTGTTCCCTACCTTCGTGTCTGTTCTCTCTAGCTGGCTTTTAACTATACCAGGCATACCTCAGTATACTTTTCTGCACCGCTTTTGTGTGACCCTGGTCCCACTTCATGTTTGAAGCTCTCTAGGAGATGACAGTTGCTAAGGCCCAGCTCGCCATGGGCCAGTGGTAACTCAGCTCTGGGTCCTGTCCTCCTAGCTGATGTGTCTCCGCTGCTCCGGTCTTCAGAGCTGAGCCTGAGCCAGTGCCCCTGGATCCAGCCTCCTGACTCTAGTGGTCCATCCTGTCTGCTACCAC